GAACCAATTTATAAACACCCACACTTTGCTATGAAAGCTGTAACCCAACTGTAGCCCAAGAAGAAGGGGAAAGAGATGAGGGAGGGGACAGGAGGAGGGAGGATGGGTGGAGGGAGTATGATTGGTGGGACCACATCTATGGTGCATTTTACAAGGGTGCATGTTAAATCTACTAAGTGTAGATATAAATGTCTTAATACACTAACTAAGAATGAGGTGAAGGCTGTTAATCAGTTTGATGAAAGCATTTCAAATTGTATATAAACCTGGGACATTGTATCCCATAATTGAATTAATGTACACAGCTATGATTTAATTTGAAAAAAAGAAAATAAATAAATATTTTTAAAAATACAAAAAGGTGAATTTTACAAATATTCAAAATGAGTTGCCATGTTATTGCTTTTCAAGGAAAATAAGACAAATGTGGGAAATATGATGTATTTATAAATTTTACAAATATATATGAGGGTTCCATTGAAAGTAAACTTTCAATGGGAAAGAACAATTTAGTAAAATTTTAATTCAATAACTACTACATTGTAGGGCAACCCTGTGCCATTTCAAAAAAAAAAAAAAAAGAAAACTGTAATGTATTGTTTTTTCATCACACAATACCTACTAGTCATCCTAGTGCATGAAATTTGTGTCTTACTTACATAGCTCTATAGTTTATACTTACATGTAGTTATATGCTTTACTAGATATTTATATTATGTACCCATCAAAAGTGAAATGCATAAAATAATATCCATGTATACATGAAATTCAGCTATCTAGTAACATAGTAACCTCAGTTGTCCAGAACACAGCCAACGTACATGACACAAGATCCATGTACTTCACTAATAGGACAAACTCTAACCTTAAAAACCACTTCTATGATTTTATACATAATTCAAACAAATCTGGTATCCCAATCTACAACATTTTTAAAATCATCTCTACCTATTGCATTTTCATTTTTTTTTAATTGTTGGGGATTCATTGAGGCTACAAAGAACCAGGTCACATTGATTGCATTTGACACACCTTTTGGGGTGGGACACAATTGTAAGAGGGACTTTACCTTGCAACAAATTTTAAATAACAAAATAGAAGCGACATTGGTGCTAAAGTTTGCTGTTAGAAAGCATCCCAATAGTACCTAATTAAAAATGTTCACTAAACATTGCTCACTAAAAAGAAAAAGAAAGGGAAAAAAATAAAATTGATATTATAAATTAGTAAATAGCAACCTGGGGTTCTTTAATAAAAGGGAATATAACCCTATATACCTTACCCTAATGTGAGCATTATTATTTTATAGCACAGTATAATAATTTATTTTCATTATGAAAACCTTGAGTCATAAAGTATGGGTTCAATTATTTTCCCTATTCTCAACTGAAGAAAAATCAGAAAGTATATAAGTAGGAAAGTATTTGTTTTCAAAATGTTGAAAACAAAGAAATTTCATCGCCTGAAGTTTCCTAAACACTAAATTATATTTTCATAAAAGTTTTTCAGTAATAGAATCCAAAATCTACCAATGCTTATGAGATATAAATGATTCTTCTCATAAATGTCTTATTGGTGAGAAAAAAAAAGAGTCACATAAAATTGATATGATGAGATTAGGTTAGGTGCTAACAAAGCCATTATACATAGGAAAAATTAAGAAAATTCATGTGGGTTTACAATTCTTGTTGTACCCCAAATTATTTTCTAGTTCTTCCTTAGAAATTCAATGTCTCTAAACCTATTTTCCTTTTTCTATACCTTTCTTTGTTTACCTGTTCTTTCACCCCACATTTATTTTTGCTCAGATATTTTAACCTTAACTTCTCATTACATTAGGATCAAGTTCTTAGTACAGTGGAACTTGAGTTCTTTTGAGGAAAAATACAACATATAATATACTAAAAAGAATAAAGAAAGATTTCTTTCAAGTAGTACACATAGATCTAGCAAAATATCAGGAGCAGGAGAGTGAAGTTGTATAATGATGAATCGGCAAACTACTCTCTTTTCCTGAAACTGAAAAAGCCATCAAAATTGAATTAGGATTCATTAGGAAAACAGAATTTCTGTACAATTTATGCTTTCCTAGAATGGAGAGAATGAATCTGTTTTATACAATTTCTTAAAACATACAACACTTGTACTCTTACATTCTAAGAATTAATATTATTCTTGGCCTTGTAGGTTATGGTTGTCTTACATCTGGTGACTAAGGTCTAATAACCAGAATCCACAGAGAACTCAAACATTATTAATAAAAAACCCCAAGTGATCCCATTTCATTGTGCACAAGACACATGAACAGAAGCTTCTTTGAAGAAGACAGGCACATGGTCTACAGAAACACGAAAAATGCTCATCATCTTTAATCATCAGAGAAACGCAAACCAAAACCACTCTGAGATATCATCTAACTCTAGTAAGAGTAGCCCACATCACAGAATCCCCAAACTACCAATGTTTGGCATGGATGTAGAGAAAAGGGAACACTTCTGCACTGCTGGTGGGAATGCAAGTTAGTACATTCCTTTTGGAAAGAAGTTTGGAGAACACTCAGGGATCTAAATGTAGACCTGACATTTGATCCTGCAATTCCTCTACTAGGTGTATATCTGAAAGACCACAAATCTGTTGGCAACAAAGATATTTGCACCAGATTGTTTATTGTAGCTCAGTTCATAATTTCCAAGTCTTGGAAGAATCCCAAGTGCCCATCGACCCATGAATGGATCAATAAATTGTGGTATATGTATACCATGGAATATTATGCAGCATTAATAAAA